CGTGAACTAAAGGTAATATCTGTAGAAACACAACATAGAACTGAGAAATCGGGGTTGACATATTCCAGTTATGTACGGATTAGCAAAACTTCATACAAGTAAAAGAAATCCTGCTGCGACTCATCACGTCTATGATCGGCTTAACCCAAGACACAAACTGGTATACGTAGTTTTCCGTCGAGATGTAAGAAATGAGACGATCGACTCTTGCTTAAGCCCCAACAACAACACGGAGAGAGAACACAGCTAGAGACAACAGTCAGTGAGTATTTCCGTGATTAGGTTGTGATACGCAAATGTATAGAATACATCGCGTATACGAGAACGCCGCAGTGACGCAACAATCAGATTGCGTAGTTGATTGATCGATCGGACAAACACTGGTCCGACTCACTCTGCAGTCACCCAGTCCTGATTCAGGGTAAACCCGTGACCATGGGGTTATCGGTTTTGGCCACTGCTGGAGGCTGGTCTTGACCGGTGTCTTGGCTGCTTGGTCACACTTGAAGCAGGAGTGTCCAAGCCCTTCGATGTGTTGGACCATATTAAGCCAACAGACGGAGCCGCGGGTAAGGGATTTCATACGGTTGATCCCTGGGTGACTGGCGTGGAATTGTCGCAGAACTCTGTGTTGTAGCATCTGTGGGATGACAACGCGTTCCGACATAAGGGTGCAATTTTCCACCACTGACGTAGATTCTCGACGGTGATAAAGCTATTCTAGAGCTCCCGACAAGTGCGTTGGCCAATGTAATGCGGTAATAATGAGCAACTGGTTGCAAAAGGAGATCCTGTCTGGTTGCCTGTTGTATTTCAGTAAAAGTGAAAGACAGTGCCCGTATTGTATCCGTCATTTGAGTCTGCATATCTGATTCCACTGACACAGACATGATGACCATGTCTTCCATCTGATGATTTCGAGGGTCAATGAGGCGCGAAAGAATATCTGCCTGACCAATTTTCGTCGTACATTTGAACCGTATTTCTAAATCACACCCCAGCAACATAGTGGCTCAACGCTGCAGTCGGGCCGCTGAGTAAACCGGAACACCTTTCTTTGAACCGAAGATTGCGACCGACGATCTGAGATCAATCAAGAGTTTGAAGTGGCGGCCGTATAGCATCCTGTGGAAAATTTAATAGCAAAGGCCTCTTTTTCAGTTTGACCCTAGTTGCGTTCGGCTGGCGTCAGGGATCGTGCAGCGTATGCAATGGCTTTTTCTCGTCCATTTAGGAACATATACGAAATGACGGAACCAACAACATGGTTTGACGCATCGG